ATGCAATGATTAATGCTAAAGAACATGTAAGTGTAACAGATATATTAAAAAATGTATTGTCTCTTAGTCTACTTCTTCTATTTTCTACTTAAGATGAATAAAATATCTAAAATGCAAAAAGGGTTTTTTGGTGCTGTACGAATTGCTCATACAGGTTGCATGGACAATGTTGGTGAATTGATTAATGCAGCAAAGTTAGTATTTTCTTTTTTTTATGTCAGTAAAAAACTCCTTATCTGATGTTTTGTGATTGATTTTTAGAGAAAAATTAGCTGAAATACAAGATGAATATGAAGAACGAGAAAGACGTTGGCATAAAATAGCAGCATTAGTCGATCGTGATGATTTGATAGGACAAACAATTTCTAATCAGTCATCATCCGGCTCAACAACAACTTCATTATCAGTGGGTAATGGTGGTGTAACATCGACAATGAATCCATCTGGTAAATTTTTTGAGCAGGAAGTATTTTTTCTTTATAACTTCTTGATAAGGCTCGCTTTGTGTCTTTTATAATTCGAATTAAATTTGTTTTTATTATATATATATATGTGTGTAAATTTCATGCATTCATTACAGGTGAGTTCGCTCTTAGGAATAATGGAATAATACAACAAGCTTTTCCTCAACTCTCCTTGCAAGAAGCAGCATAATATTCGAAAAGGTTATGGGTTGTTTATTACGCTTTTGCTTGCAATCTAAATTTTTATTATAAATCCATTTCTTGTTTCCCGTAGTATATTCGAAAAAATAGTTTAAAGTCAGATATTTTTAGTATAAAAAGAACATTTTATTTGTCGATTTTGACAGTTAAATGTATTTAATTTTAACATATTGTTTCGAATAGTACATCTGTATATTTCTAGCATTTATATTTCTTCATAATGGATTAATTCTCCCAAATAGAGTCTGGAGGGGTGAGTCTTTCTTTCAAAAAAGGATATTTTCAACGCTTACAATAACTATTACCGTCTTTTTACGTTTATTTTTGTTGATGGATTTCAGCTTTATTCTTCCAGAAAGATGCGAAATAAATTCCATTATGGTATTCTAGAAATAAAAGTTTTTATTTTTATTTTACAAAGGGCTATTTTGTTTTATGAAGTTTTTCACTTATATCAGCATGCTGTTGCCGTTAAATTTACTACTAGATACATTATTTTGTGAAAACGTACATTTAATAGAGTTAACAGTCGGTACTTTCTACTACATCATCAACAAATATTTGTAGACCGATGTTTTATCATGATTTACAAATAAATCGGGAAAGCAGGCCGTCCGTCCGCTCATGCTCTGGTTATTTTGAACTAATTTTTATATACGTTTTCGTTTTTCAGTTTTGAACTCTGGGAAGTTTAATTTGAATTTAATAACTTTCTTTTATTTTATGTCTTATCTATTTCGCTTTTTGTTTAGATGCATTTTCACGTCCAAAATCTTCGACTCACGAGCCAGGTGGTATAATAAATTCGTTTGATCCATCAAGGCCAAATGGGTATGACGAACTTGAAGTGAATAAATAAATAAATAAATACTAATTGCTTATTATTTGTTTGTATTTCTCATTTTAGTAGTATACATGGAAGTAATCGCGGTTTATCAATTAATCCTGCTCAGCCACATCGTATCGTTGATGATTCGTTTAGTCAAGCTGATAGTGGTTTAGAATTATCTAATTCATCATCGTCTACACTGAAACGTCGTCTACCTAGTAATCGGCCTATTGGCAGTAGTGGCGGAAATAATTCAGTGAGCAATTTTTCCGTGCCCTATTCAAATTCAACAGTAGGTATTGGTGATATGATGTTTAGTAGCGACTCAAATACTCGTCAGAATGGTTCTGGTGTTAATCTCCCAGCAAATTCATTATCATCTGATCATTCTTACCAGCAACAAAGTTACTTTTCAACATTAGACATTCAAAATCCCACAGATCATTTGTTATCATATGATTCACCATCACAAATATTATCATCATCTGTAGGAACACCAGATAAAATACGTAAACAATTTTCTGCTACAAAAATATTTAAGCCATTTATACGTTTTAGAAAGAAAAATTGAACTGGAATAAAGATTTTTTTGAGAATGAAAATGTCTTTCTGTTCTCCCTTCATTAACTGATATTTATATGTATGTATAAAGAGATTTATTTCAAATGCCGGTGCCTTATGTTCTCAATTTTCTCTGCGAATTCTCGTGAATCTCATCTACTATGGCAGTACTCTGTTCTCTATTTTTCTCTCCAAAAAAACGTTCCATTTCTTTCAATTTGTTATCGTCTTTCTTTTAATGGTGCTTCTGGATTCTCTTTTTAACTATTGTTGTTATAGACTATATTCTAATATGCAGTTTTTTATTTTCTATATTTAATATTTGTAAATGCTAAAAAACAAAGAAGATAACAAGTTCTTCTTTTTCTATTCGGTGAATGGATGTAAGTAATCGGTTGTAAAGTAATTTTGTAATTTTCTTTTTTTTATTTCAAATGTTAAAAATACGATGATCACTCTGCACGATATAAATGAAAATATATTAGTTTAATTTAATGGTATACAATAGTTCCATGAGAACAGAAAAACTCATCTTACTATGCTTACTCTTCTCTAATAAAAGATGAAATAGGAATATTAAAAGCATATCACCCGCATGTGTCCAGATCACCATCATTGATTTTTCTTTTTCTTTTTTATTATGAAACTTTGAATACCTACGGAGTAGGAACGTGCCCGTTACTTTACTTTGAAAAGTAACGGAAAATAACGATAAAAGATTCTTTCTGCCGTTTTGACAACCCCTTATTTATTTTGTTAAACTTCTCTAACTGATGAAAACCATTAAGTTTTTAAATAAAACTGTCGATCATATCTTTCTCACTTTTTAGTCTGATGACTTTACAAACAATCTCTATACTTCGATAGAACAAAAACAAAATAGTAGCCGATATCTCATTTTCTAAAGTGCATTTTGTCTATCATTCGTATAGAAGTTTGCTTTTCTTTATACTGACTGATTCTCTGAGCCAAACATGTACAAAAGGAATTTCACCTCATTTCTTCAGACACCTATTATAAATCTTCGTTTGATCTATTAGTTTAATCGTAGGACTATATTATTTTCTGTTCAGTATCACTAGCACTACTACACCTTTCATTTTTTTTACCTTGAAACCAGTGTTAAATCTAAGATTCAGTTAACCTGAAATAACTGTATTCACTGAAACAGAAGTATAGTAATTTTAGAAATAACTATAACAGCGTCCGAAACTTTTTAAGCGCAATTTCATAATCTTTATCTGACATAAAGAGTGACAACGACTATAAAGCACAAAAATTCTTTTTTAATTGAAAGATGAGTTAGACTTTCGATAATAGATAATTTCAATGGTAGATAATTTCGATGAAACAGCAGTTATTTATCTGAGACTTGTACACTAACAAATTTGGTTTCTCTTGACATCACAAATGGTTATTTACCAGTAGACTCCTATCTCAATTGCTCTTCTTCGTCATGGAAGAGAAATACGTTAAAAAGAAAGATACACAATATTTGTGCTGTAAAAAACATGCTTATTGAATGAGAATGTGATTGTACCACTAAACTTACAAAAATCTATCCTTTACTTCTAATAAATGAATTAACGAGCTATTTCAACAACAACAACAAAAGAAAAAGAAAAAAGAAGTAACTTTTTTTTATTTTCATTACTTTTTCAGAAGTAACACGATTAACGAATTTCTGTTACATTAAATCACCACTCCTACTACGGAGTTTATTTAATCTTTGATTGTTACGACGATAAAACCACTGAAATACACAGTATGTAAGAGAAGAAACAATTTACTCGTGCAGAGGAAAGGTGCAAAATGCTCCAACGCTTTCTTGAGCGAGCCTAAAAGTTTCCCGAAAAAAATGAAAGCGATGACTTTTTGCTGTTTATTTGGTTTAGAGAGATGTCAACTATGTGTTCATCTAGAAAAGCAAAGAACAGATTATCACATGCGTTTGTTTTATTAACCTTATACTGTTCAAATAGATGATAGTGTAGGAGGTCAAACTTCTGCAACAAAACTAAACATATTTTTCATTTTCCGAACGATTTTCTATTCTAACGTGCAAACAGCTAACAATTGAAAAATAACTAAATTATTCTCAAACCTGTTGTTGCTTTTTCGAATACGCTTTCACGATTTCAGTTGTTTCCATTAAGCCGCAGTTTATGTCTGAGACATAAACGTCCTTAAGTTTAAGAGTAAGACGTACGGATTCTTCGTCATGACCTAAGGAATTGATTCAAAACCGGCGCCTCACACTATGACTTTGAAAGTAAACTCAGCGGACAAAGGTGTTTTGTTACGAAGAGTCAAACGTTTATACCGCGGGATTTGGGAGCCAAGTTAGTGAAAGAGAGCAAGAAGAATGCAATGCTTTCAAAATGCAAGTCGTCGCAGATTTTCTTGAAAACGAAAAAAAGAAAATATGTTGATACTTAGCCTTAAACCGAGAGTATTTATAATGAGTAATCAACGATTGTTCATTATGCAGCATTAAATCAGAGCTTAGAAGTATTTCCTCTTCGTTTCCACATGCTGTTACCTTTATTAGCTTACGCCAGATGGTGCCGATTGTTGATCCCATTTCCGGAGCAAAAATTTTTGAATTTGGGAGTAAAAGATTCCAAAAAGCAGGAAGGGAGGTCCCCTCCCTACTCACGTTGATGGGCCACTCACGGCGTCCCTTGTCAAACGACTTGTTGTTATTGGGAACGACGTAACACAGCAGATCCACGACACACGATACATCTCTTTTTTCTTCAAAAACAGTAAAGGCTTATCTTGAAGAGGATTAAAATACAGATATGACGATTTTTCGATAAAGTGTGTTGCTAAATGAAGAGATGCAGCATTCCAAAAGGTTAAAACTCTGTCGTCCAACCGATCAGAATCCAGCGGTCGATTTGATGAATACACATCTTCATTGCTGAAGTTGTAATTTCACAACTGCTTCGCTTCTAATTTTGAGAATCATTAAAGAATAAAAATATAGAAATCCTAGTTTGTTGACTAACAATTCAAATGGAAAATTGGTTTTCATGACGAGTGTAGACACCATTTTATTCTGTCTCATCCATCAATCCTTCATAAGTTTCATTCAGAAAACTTTCTTTCCATAAGTGATATTGATCGTGCGCTATATTGAAATCAATATTCAGTGTTATATTGATAGTGTATCCAGCAGTAATAAAAAAATTATCATTCCAGTATCTTCTTCGACGACAGTATGACTTTAGAGGAATTCTTTAAAATTTCTCGAAGCGCTGTTCGCACTTAGGACCCCATTCTGTACCCTGTTCTTGTGTTTCGTATAAAAAACATGTGACTTTTTCTCAATTTCAAATTTTAAATGTATAAGTTTGTAAACTCTGTAATTCAATCAAAAATTTGATTATTTAAGTGTAGTTGTATCTGTATATAGTTGTAAAAGAAAAAGTCAATCACATCCGTCACACTCAGTTGACTACAGTTGTAGCGCATTATGCTCATTGGAAAACCATGTTTGACGTATTCACATCATACATTATATGTTTAATAATGAATAGAAAAACAATAAAAAGTTGTCATTCGTGACCTAGAAACGTAACTTTTGAATTTCAGCAACCCATGTTGCAAATAAAACGGTGATTTTCTTGCTCAAATACGAAATACTTTTTCTTTTACCAAGGTTTGTGTATTTTCACATTGTGTTTATTTAACAAACAGTATTGTTCAAAACTTTTCATTCTATTTAAATTCGTTTATTTCACATTGGCCAAAAAACTACTATCGATGTTATACATTTAGATCTAGTGGAAATTGTAGAGCGATCTCTTGTTTTAAGACCCATTGTTAGTATTTGAAAGTTCGTTGATGGCCGGTCGTGCTCAAAAGTGGGCTATTTTAATCGGTGTTTTTGGTACTATAGTCGCTTATTTGTTTCGTGCTCCATATTGTTCTAACATCGAACAACCGACAAAAATTCGACTAGTTAGTGCATTGGCAAGAACTATCCATTTAATTGTAAGTTAGATTTTGAAACCAGTTTATATTTTATTTTTATTTTTACATTATTAATAGGGTGATATTGGAGACAAACTCGGTCTAACAACACGTATGCATGTCTTTCGAGTATCTTTAGATTTATTTGGTAAATTGAATGAAGCAGCTGAAAACAAAGATCTCAAGGCAACAATAATCCTCTTAACATTGTATAGAAATACAATTCTTCTGATTTCAGGTCGAAGATTTATACATCAAACATATACCAATACGTATCTATCGAACATTAAAAACGAGTGAAAAAAAATCTCATTCACCAGCGATTATCTATTATCACGGGGGCGCACTATATGCAGGAAGCATAGGTTAGTAGACATCGGAAATCTTAGAGAGAATGAAGTTATATTGCTTTTGGTAAAAAGATTTGAATTGATTTTTCTGTGAATAAAGCATCCCATAATGCTATTACGAGCCAATTGACTAAAGCAACAAATTTTCTTGTCATATCTGTTGGGTAAGCCATTATGTCTTTTTGAACCATAATCTCAAAGATTTTCCACATTTTAGATATCGATTAGCTCCAGAACATCCTTTTCCAGCTGGTCTATCTGATTGTTTTGATGTGACAAAATACATATTTGATAATGCTGTTAAATATTCAATCGATGTTAATCGTATAGTATTAGCTGGTGATTCAGCAGGTATAATATGTTTTACTTTTATGTTAGAGTTAAATGGTTTTTATTATTCTATGTGGTGCATTTACGGCTGTTCTCTCAATGAAATTAATTCAAAATGGTTATAATCCAAAAATTCAAGTGCTCATTTATCCAGCTTTACAACTCTTTGATTTTATGTTACCATCATATCGTCAACCTTTTTGTCAAATTGCAATAGTTAAAATGAGCGATGTCATATCTTCCTATTTAAATACAACTGTTAGTGATAACGATCTTTTAAGTAATAATCACACGACACCCGAGGTAAAACGATCATTAGCCAAATATGTACCGTATGATTATATACCAGCTAAATATCGGCAAGGAATCAATCCACTTGAACCTGTTTATGGTGATGCTGAGATTTATTTAAGAGTAAAACTAATTTTCAGTCCTGATATATCTCCGTTACTAGTTGAAGATAAGGTATTAAAATTGATGCCAATAACATACATTTTATCAGTAGGACATGATCGCTTCCGAGATGAAGCATTTATTTACGAAAAACGTTTAGAAGTGAATGGTGTCCAGGTTACTCATCATCATTATGAACATTCATTTCATGGTGCGTTGCAGATGTTAAACGGTGTTGCAAGTTTAAATATTGCTAATGAGATGATGGAACAGATTACGGATTTTCTGCTCAAGATGGCCTAAGTCACGTCATGATCAGTCGCAAAAAGGATACTGTGTTCTAATATCATACTTTTATTCAATTTTTTAATATCCTCTTTATCCATCATGCGAACGAATACTGCTGCAGCAGTGACTGTTTTGTACAACTGCAGTTTCAAACATTCCCGCTTTAGACAAAAATAACTTTAGTATGAATTTTGCATCTGATGTACAAAAGTCGTATAGCAATTACTTCTTACACTTTAGAAAATTTTCAAAAATGTTAAAAGCAAAATGAAAAAATGAAAAGATAAATACGCTCGTATCACCAAAGCCACTATCAAGAGTTTAACATTGAGATTAGGCAGTAAGCTTCCGCCAGAAATAAATTGTTCTTATGAACTCCTTTTGTCTGAAAAACATGTGTATCATTGAAATTCTATGAATACAGTCGTTTTTATTTTCATCTCAGATTTGATACTCCAACAAAAACGGAAAGTTTTTCGAATAACAATACGATGTAGAAAACAATAAACAAATTGAATTTTTCCTTTGCTAACATTATTGTTTGGCGATATTTCATTTCTCTACGATCGTGGACGTTCTTTCTTTTCCTTATATAATGCCCATAATGATACGTTGGCTACTTTAACAACTTTGAATCGAACACCTGGAATATCTCCGACGGCATGTCCTTTACGGCCAAAACCGGCTATCAAAACTTCGTCATTTTCCTGAGAAAGAAAATAAAAAGATGATTAAGCACACTAGTGTACGAACAACCAATTCGATCGTTGGTATAGTAGTCTATATGTTCGAAAAGAGCTGTTGCCAAGAAGGAATAAGTACGCTGCACCAGCTAACTCTTACTTCGATATAATTTAGACAACCATCCCGAGGAACGAATGCTGTTATTTTCTTGCCATTTTTGATCAATTGAACACGAACACATTTTCGAATAGCCGAATTTGGCTGTTTGGCTTCAACTCCACTGTAACGAAACAAGCTAACAAATATAGTATTTAGTTTTTTGCGTTAAACTTACACTTTTTCTAAAACAATTCCTTTGGCATGTGAAGCACCACCAAATGGATTTGATTTCCATCGTGTGCCCAAATGAGATTTTTTATAATCTTTATCATGCCATTTTTGTTCACGTCGATGATCTTTAAGTTTACGCGCTGTACGAAGACTAAAACATCCACAAAGATTTAGTACAAATATCTCATGTGCTTAAGTCGATGAATAAGCGAATCACTTACCCGCGTGGTTTACCTTTAAACAGAAAAAAAATAGTTTTATTCTTTTATACCGAAGAAATTCTTTTAGTGAACCTACCCATTCTGAATAAATTCTAAGGAGATGTTCTTTTATCTAAAACAAGTAGTATCAATAAGTATATTCCGAGTTTTTTGTTACACAAAAATGAGCAACTAAGAAATATCAAACTCAATTTCATATTCTCCCGAAAGTTCAAATTTTACTCTGAAATCAGTTGCTTAAAACTGAATTAAATTGAGAAGACTGATTTCCAACAGCGAGATTTCAGAAAATTCTTATGCTGAGTTCTTATACGATGGCTGTGTTCTGCTGAAAAAATTTGAAAACTTTCCTTTAAGTAAAACAAGAAATATTTTTTTTCATTCGCAACTATCCTAAATTATAAACAGGGAAGTTGACACGTTCAAGTGAACGAAGCGATACAATACTTTCTTATTTAATTACGACATTAGCGCTCGTTAATTGGTTCTCTTTTTAGCCCAACAAGCAACTACAATCTAATGAGAGTAAGAAAAGCGAGGAGGTAAATTTGATCTACTTATATAGACTCAATAGTTAAATGTTATTTATTATTTCATAAAGCTAAACTACTTTTTTTTACATATTGCTTAGCATTAAAAGAAGATTAAAACTTTGTAGATGTCGCCGAGTTTGTTAAAACGTTTTTCTTGACGCAAGAGGCAAGACAGTAATATGCAGTTATGGTTGAAAGAAAAACTAAAAAAACGTAAAGGTAAATAATTCCTGAATGCGTAAATTCAAGTGCTTGTAAACATCTGAAAGTTTTCTAGCAGGAAAGAGAATGTAAATAAAATGGAAGTCTCAGTAATGAAAATACAAATATCAGCAACTTACGAGAAAAGGAATTATGGGTCTTGCTGTGCTAAAAAATATCTTGAGCGTTTGAACTAATCAAGAACGGCGCCGTGGTAAGATATGACGTGGGGACAGGACAACTGTTAGTTCATCTTTTTCTAGGCAATCCACTTTTTTTACTGATGTGGATTTCGCTGCTCGCTGATTTTTTCCTTACTCCCGTATCATACTACTGCGAATAGTAGGGCACAGGTTTCTCAGATAAAACATTTTCGTCGGTCCTCGCGTGTATATCATGTGTAAGTGTAACTACGCTAGGATTAATTATTATTTAAGACGATTAGCACAAAAGATCGCTTTAAAGCGCCACGGCAGTCAAGTCTCTTACTTTATGTTTTTCATTGGAGCAGTTTTCGTATCAACCTTTACTTTCGGTATGCCATTCGCTATAATCTGTTTTAGACATGGAATATTTGTAGCCTTTTTATACATTCATACATACCGGTGGGTAATTGTAGCCGACACTTGTCAAATCTTTAGATCATTTGTTTGTAGCATTAGGTGAGCTAAAAAATATTCTGTAAACAATACATGTTATAATCTGTTTTTCTGCTCCTCTTAAGATCCCATTTAAAATGTTACCAAGTCAAACACGCCATGTAATCGCTATCAATATCGAAACATTAGCCGGTTCGACGTTCGAATTACTCGTATCTCCGTTTGAAACTGTAACAAGCATAAAACGAAAAATCGAAAGACGAGAAGGTATATGTGCGTATTTTTTGTTTATTGAAAAGCCAATAAATATTTGTTTTTAAGGTATTCCGGTGTCACATCAACACCTTGTGTGGAAAACGAAAGAGCTTGAAGACGAATCGTGTCTACATGATTACAATATTGGAGATGGTACAACGATTATACTCGTTTTAGCCATGAGAGGTGGACCAGTCAATACAAAACGTGGTAAATGAATTTCGTTGTACTGAGTACTGTTCGATGGTTCTGAAAGTTCTGTTTTTTTCTAGTGCCCATTGAAGATAGTTTAATACGTGATATGTCTGAGTATATTGAAACCAAAGAGGATTACAGTGATTTATTTCCGGGCGGTACATCGAATAAAAATGTTACTTTTCTTGTGTTACGGGATGGTGATCAATTTAATTTTTTTCAACTCATCGATCGAGGTGATGGTACATTATCACCAATGTCGGGCTCAATGAGGTATAAACGGTGTTAAAAAATAGCTTAATTTTTTGACAGTAATATTTTCTTCTAGTACTGCATCAATGTACAACACACATGAGGGCGTTGATGTCGAGCGTGTATATGATGAAAAACGACAGGCGGAAGATAGAAAAACAAAGCAGAAAATGGAATTAATCAAATCAAAACTAAAAAATACACCCACGCTATCTTCAAAAAAGGTAAAGTACAAATTTTTAGTTTTTTCTGCTGGACATGATTAAATTTTTATTTGTTATTTAAAGGAAACTCAATTGCTACCACCAAGACCACCATCTGGTGCTAAATCTAAGACCATTCGTCAAACACTCACAACATCTTATCCCGTGGGCAGTGGTACTACACGTTCACGTCGTTATGGTGGTGATCGAAACATTGTGCTTGATCCAGCTTTGAACAATATTAATGATACCGAAGTATCTTCAACGGCGACTACAATATTAGTAGACAATTACAATAACAATATCTCTGAACGTAAACGAATACCTAATACAATTTCAACGACAAATATATTTAACACGTATAATCTGTTATCAGCAAAAAATTTGCAAGAAGATGATGAGGACGACGATGAAGAGGATGAAGATGATGAGTCAAATGATGAGGAGAAAGATAGCGATGAATATAAAACAAGCTCAATGATAACTGCTAAAAAATTATTTGGTTCAACTCGATCGTTTTCACCATCAATATTATCAAACGGTTTCTATTCTTCATCGGCCACTGCTGTCACAACTCCGTTAATCTCAGATACAATCACTACAAAAAAACAATTATCATTATCCTCACTAAAGAATAGTTTAGAACAACAACAACAACAAAGCAGAATTTATCAGCACTATCACGATAAAAAAAAAGTGTCAATGACCAAACGAGAAACAACAAAAAGTTCAATTGAAACAATATTAACAACTGGCAATCCATCAACGAATTTAGGTTCGTTAAAAATGTTTTGAANAAAAAAAAAGTGTCAATGACCAAACGAGAAACAACAAAAAGTTCAATTGAAACAATATTAACAACTGGCAATCCATCAACGAATTTAGGTTCGTTAAAAATGTTTTGAACGAGTATTTAGAGTCTTTACTCTTCCTTCTGTTTATAGGACTTAACAACCAGGACATAACGAATTCTCAGGCAACTACAACGAATGATCTGTCTACTATAGCTTCCTCAGCTAAGAACGACGATTTATTACTCGATTATATTCATCGCTTGTCCCCCATCCAATCACAGCCACTTCCTCCATCTCCTCGTATTACTTGTTCAGCGAAACGTTTAAGTGATCAAACTCAATCACAATCAGCGTTTTGTACAACAACAGTAGCGAATGGAAATACTGCTAGTTGTGGAACAGCAACAAACGAAATTTATCATCATCTTTCATCGTCCACCGCTCTTGATCTTGACGATGACACTATTGGTACTACAAACAACTATGCATCTTTAAGAAAGCTACAACAATCACCGTTTAAATGTTTGCATTCATCGTTATCAAATAGTAATGATTCGTATCTTCGAAAACAAACAGCTGGTTCAATTAGTAACACTGGTGGAGATAATTCGAACAGTCGAAATGATACGTCGTTGAGTAAATGGCCAGATACACCGTCACCACAAAGTAAAATAGACGGACATTTTGTTCAAGATGACGATATAATTATTGGTGAACAATCTAATACTAATGAACGTACAGTCACCAGTCATTCACTATTTCGGCATCAAAATAGTAGTTCGAGCACAATCACACCCGCACCAACGTTACCGAACTTACCACACAGTGCAAGAAAAACACAACGTTATCATCATACAACAAACAGTACATCATCTACCGTATCATTTGATCAGCAACGTTCATCACCATCGCTAAATGTGAGACCATTAGTACCCTTATCATTATCCAAATATCGTCGTATGCCTCCACCAAATACAACAAATATTCCGCAAGGAACGAATTATAGTACAACATTTTTTCAAAATCAAACAAATGATACACCATCAACACCCACCAATGATTGGTTTAAAAATACAACAACAACAACACCGAATGATTCATTTAATGAACATTTGATGTTAAGTAAACGAATTGAAATGTTAAAAACAGGAAAACAACAACAACAACAACAACAAGCTACTATACCACCATCTCCATCCTCGTCGTCCACAGCAATCTTTCCGTCACCACCGTCAATACTGTCAACAAAACGAGACAGTAATAATGAGAATAAACCAACAACAAAATCGGTTGTATCGTCAACATCTGTCACTGCACAAGGCTCACCCTATGATAGTACAAAAGTAACTATAGGTAAGCTGACAAAACAATTCTTTATTATCAAGGCAACGCGTTTGATATTATCCTTTTTTTCTAGAAACAATTGGACCAAAAACGGTATCAGCATTATTGAGACAAAATGCAACGATTGAACCTGTTGATACATCAAGAGGAGTTGGAAAACATCTGGTGTCTCTGTTAACGACCGCATCTAAAGAAACATCTATCAAGGGTAAATATAATCATTATTTTTAATCCTCTTTTTTTATTGTTTAATTTTTTATCCTAGGAAAAATCCCTTTACTTCAATCTCAAGACACTGTAATAGAAGAACGTTATAAGGTATGTTACTTTGTTTAAAGAACATTTTTTATTTCAAAACAAACCTTTTTTAATGTTTTAGCTTGATTCAAAACTGAATCCCTGGTCAACAACATCGATTAATGGTAGTACCGTTAGTAGTTTAAATTCAACAACTGCTACAATTTACAGTAATACAAATTCAAATAAATTACCACCCGTTATTATCAGTCGGAAACCAACAGCAAAATGTTTTTTGTGTAAGAAAAAAACTGGTCTTGCCACAACATATTCTTGCAGGTACTTTGTCTCCTTTGTTATTGATTATTCGGTTTTCATTTGTTTTTATTCATTATTATTGCAGATGTGGTAGTTCATTTTGTTCCGAACATCGTTATCCTGAAGCTCACAATTGTCCATATGATTACAAAGCTGAAGGAAAACGATTAATTGAAAGAAATAATCCAGTAGTAGCCGCACCCAAATTGCCAAAGATTTGAAAAGACATAAAACTCAACAGTGTGTGATTTTTCACTTCTCCTCTTACTCTCTCTGTCTCTAATTTTATACCCGATGATGAAGAATTAAACTAACTGATGATTTTTGCTTCTTCTAGAAGAACATGATAAGTGTGATGTGGTACGTGTGTGTGTATGTTTTTTTTCTTCTTTCCTATATGTTGCAACCGTCTTTATGTACTTTAATAAATTAATTTTCTGTTTCGTGCACGAACTCTCTCCGCGTATTTATTTGTTTTCTCGTCTATGACAAAAACAAATTAACAGAAAACTGAACTATTATGAATACTCAATTTTTTCTATGCATTTTTTTCGATCTCAAGAATAGACTTTCTTTTTGTTCTCTCTCACTTTCTTGAATTCGATATTTATATATATATATATATCTATTAACCGTTAAAGCTTTGAAGCATAACTGGAACAGTAGACACCCTTTGTACTTTTTTTTTTGTTGTTGTTATATGAACAGTCTTTCCAAAAAATAAAACAAGAAAAACAATTGTTTAGGAATATTTTTTTTTGTTTTTGTTTTTTACAATCTTGCCGTTACAACGCACGCACTCATACACACAACACATTCTTTTTTTTTTGCATTTGCGTTAATAGTTATCCCTAATTTTTTTCTTTTTTTTTTTTTTTTTTTTCTATAGAGTATTTTTTTATATCGTTTATTTTTTGCGGGTTGTTTATTTCCTTGTATATGTTTTTTTTTTCTTTTTCTTCTGTTGCTTTTTTATGGCTTATATGGCGGTAGAAGAAGAGAACATAATACTGTTTGTTTTTGATTTCGTTTTGCTACTGTTGCTTTCTTCTTTTTTTTTCTTATTCTTATTGATAGTGATATTTTACCATATATCAACAAACGCACTAAAAATCATTCAAAAACTACATATATTTGTATATATAATACATTTAGACTATGTATGTAAAAAGTAATTTTTGATTAAAAAAAGAATATGAAATCACTGATTATTGCTCATGTGTCTAAAAAAATTTTTTCTATATAAATCACATGCTTCACAACAATTTTCTAGTTCTTTTAATATAGTAATCTGAGAAACATTAAGCTTTGTGTATAATAAGAAAAACTATTTTGATTTAATTGTCGATAATATATTAACATCTTTAATTTATGTAATTTTAGAATCGTAAATGTGAACAGTTAATATCGGAAAGTTTTAAAACTACAGTGATGGATGATGAGGGTCAAAAAATTCTAACAGGTATGTATTTGTGTGTGTGTGTGTGTCTGTTGTACATATCTGTTCATACGTTGTTATATTTTTATTTTATTTTTAGATATTGTTACCGGTACTAATTATTTACTACAACAATTGAATATTGATCGTCGTATTCGCACTGTGGCTGAATTTTGCAGTGATGTTTTAATTCCTATTTATGAGAAAATATGTTTATGTCAATTAAAAGGTAATACAAAAATATGTTAAATTAACAATAAAGTAAACATTTTCTTTTCTTTTTTGTTCTTTTAGACGTTCGATTACCAATTCGAAATCTTCAAGATGAAATTCATAATATTAATGTTGTTATTAATGCCTTGTGTTTTGAAACTGTTGAATTTGATTTATCTCATATAACTGGTGAACAAATTACAAATGGTGATGCTTATGCTATGAATGATCTATTAGAAATTTTAACCGATGTTTATCAATGGATTAAAGCAAATAACAATAAAACTTTGGAACAAGAATCTTGTATGTTGTTTATGTTTAACGTTTAATTTTCTTCTATTTTACGAATCTTATTTTTAGTGCCACCATCATCAAATCTTCCCTCAGTCTCAGATCGATCAGCTATAACAACATCTCTTGGAGCACGAATAGTAGCTAAAAGTCGAGATGATTTAGAAAATCGTAAAAATCCATATTCATTTACAAATGAATTTGCATCAAATAGTTTGGTTATATCACAAATTTCACCAATATTATCGCCATCAACATCACCTCGACATACAAAACAATTGGCAACTGCGAATCTCAATGATAAATATGACACATTACTCAAACGTTTTGAACAAACTGTTCAAATGTCAACAGATGCGTTGCATTTGAAAAAAACTGAAGGTAAATGATTAACTATCTATACTATGTGGATCTTGTCGTATATTTAACACCGATTTTTAATTTTTTAATAGAATCGAATTTGAAATCAGTATTGGATGATTTAAATCGTTCAATATTATCAAATCAAAATATTCGACAACGAGATGAACAATACGTTTCTGATAAACATCATCATGATACATTTACCATTAACAGTGATAAAGAAAATGATGTGGAAGATGATTTAGCATTACTATTAAATACTCATGTACTTGAACCATCGGTAATTTATCGTGAACAAGATCAGAGACAAAGGTATTTCCAATCATTTCTTAAAAACGAGAATTCTCGTATCAAACGGTAATTAACTTTTTGATTTTAGATCTGTATCGGGCAATACATTGTTACATCAATCAAATAATGATTATTCCTGTTTAGCTCTCGATAATAGTAAACATAATCGTTTGAATCGTAGTGATGAATTTTATCAAATTCGAACACAATTAAAACGTCATTATAATCAGAAGTCAAATTTAAATCAATTTTTAAAAGAAAAATTTGATGATGATCTTGAAGATTATAAATCTACAACAGAAATTTTAAATAATAAACAAAAATTACGTAAAATAAAACAAAATGAAATAGAAAATTCATTATTAAAAGTTCGTTTACCATCCTCATCATCTAATACAACAATGAGGCCAACAAAATCGGCTGGTAAAAAAGGCTATTTACGTTCATCAACAACATCGCTTGTAAAACATCGACAACATTCACAAAGTGCCTTAGAATTGAATAATCATTATGATGATGAAGAAGATATGGATGAAAATGAAAAAAAATCATTAAAACGTTCCATGTCAAAACGTTTATTAATGGCGAATGAACACGATTTAATTCCGATATTGAATGAACAATTTCCACATATGTATTCTTCAACAGAAATGCAGACAAAATTAAATGAACAGTTTAGTAAACATATTGATAGTTTATTCAAGGCAAGAGTTGAACTTATTAATGCTCAAACTGGAAATATTAATGATGTAAGTTATTTTAAATAAAAATACTTAAAAATTGAAATTTGTTGTTGTTTTTTGTAGTTGGAAGAAGCGAAAAAGAAACATGATCGTATTACCGAAATACTACGAAAAGAATTGGTTGCTACTCAACGTCAGGTGAGTTGTTTGTTAACTATTCAACTTAAAATATTTAAATAAACGTTTTTTTCTTTTTCATTTTTTAGCAAGATAGTCAATTGAAACAATCAGCTGAACGTATATTACGTTCAAAAATTCGTGATCAACGTATTCAATCGGCACGTACTCGTCGTTACTACAATGATTTTCGTTTACAACAACGTAAACGTTTATTAAAAAAGCGTACAAATGAAGAATTAATTTTAAAACAAGCCTATGATGAATCAATTAAAATTCAAAAAGAACGTTTATATGAGATGAAAAAATATAAACAACAATATAATGATTTATTTATGAAACGTTATAAAACACAATTAGATTCATTAGAAAATTATTATCGTGAACGTTTAGAAATGTTTAAAGAACAACAGGTAAATGAACAAACGATTAAACAACGAAATGATAATGAAGAAAAATTAGAACTTGATAAACAACGTCAACAATTACGAAAACAATTAGAACAAGATATTAAACAATTACATGAACATTTAGCGGATAATACGGATTATATGCATTATAGACAATTGGATTTAGATAAATTAAAAGAGAATTTAATACAAGCAAGAATTACGACTAAAGTTTAACATTATTTCATTTATAATATTCCGTCCATAGTTTTGCAGATAACGTAGTAATTTTTTTAATTAAATAATTTAGGTTACACTCTCCTCTAGTGAAAATTTAACAGTTTAAAATGTAGAAAGTTTCAGCAAATGTATGTGTATGATGATAGTTCATCTAAAAATTGTTAAATCTCTTGGATTTTCAGAGATCTCTTGGTTAACAGTGATAATGCATTATTCATAATTCATTTCACACAATCGCCTTCTTCGAAGATTTGTCCAATTCTATTGACATTTTGAATAGAAAATACTTTGAGAACTCTTTGAAATTCCTAGTTGGCAATAAATTTTTTTCGCTTTCAAAATTTATTTTGAGTAAACCAAGAACAGCATAGTGCAGGTAGATATTAACACTAAAACATAGCAGAGGACGCTTGAAACTATACTAATTAGTAATAAAAAACTAAAAATTGATATTTTTCTTTCATTTTGTCAATTTTAAACGAGGAGCAAGTGTAACCTTGACACATTTATAGATGTAGCTTTTTTTTGTTTGTTTTTTTATAAATTATATAGTAAAGAATGTAGTACTAAATGTACAATTTCATTTTTCTCCTACACTCGACTGACTTTCAATGAGTTAAAACCGTCGTTTAAAGCTAAGACTGAGATAGATTTGTATGATCAGTGGACGTAACATAAATCTTTTGGTCATATCTGTATTTCATTTAGTTTCAATTCAAATAGTACAAAAAGGTCCTATATTTGTTTTCTTTAAATATATCGTCAAAGATTTTGATTGTCTTAATAAAACAATTTAAAATCGTCTTCTGTTTCAAAAAAAATTCTACGCAACTTTTATGAGAATGTCAATCATTATCAAAACGTGATATAAAAATTGGTATATGTTTGAGAAATAAATGTTACTATGAATATCTTACAATTCAATTATTCTTTTAAGTTTAACTTTTTTGAACATTTAAATGAGAAGTTCCTACTTATGTCCTGTAAATGATATTATATTCGACATCTAATTGAAACTGTAATACATAAAAGCCTATCGTCTTGGAAAATTTTCATCTTTTTCAGATATGTCTATTAATATGTTCGATGAGACAAAATACGATAATATTATAATTAATCATCGTCAAGCAAGTGATATTCTCTGGTCATTAAAGACATATCATAATCCATTGTACGATGATAAACAACAGTCTCCATGTTCATTAAATCTATTAAAACGTCAGCAACAATCATCACCATCAACTGTTATGTCAGAAACTCATTATTTATCATTACCACGTAAATCTGAACAAATTAAACAAGATGTACTAAATAGTTTAAGTTTGAAATATACCATTGATAATTTAGCATCAACAAATGAAGAAAAAGTTTTACTTCATAATGAGGCTAAACATATACTCAATGAAATGTCGCATCAATTGAACATGAAATCTGTACGTGTATTAGCTTACCTGTTTAGTAAAATATTAAACTGTCTATATGAGAATATTTATATCAATAAAGAGAATCTCGAACGTGTGAGACAATTATATGTTTATCCACATTTACATCAACGATCAGTTATTACCACATCTTCTCCATCAACCACAACTTTTTCTTCAACACTTTTATCTATACTATCTTCTACTGTTTCATCAATATCTCCGAAAACTGTTGAGCCCACTATGCCTATTGTCACGATTCCCATTAATTTTTTAACACCATCACGTATTCTATTTTTACCTACTCATCGTAGTTATATGGATTTTATTATTATGACTTATCTAGCTTATGAATATAATTTACCATTGCCGTGTATAGCAGCTGCACAAGATTTTCTAGGTTTAGGACGAATATTTTCAAATTTATTACGTCATTGTGGTGCATTTTTTATTCGTCGTACATTTCGATCAGATAAATTATATTGGACAATATTTGATGAATATGTTAAAACACATTTAATCAATGGTGATTATCCATTAGAATTTTTTCTTGAAGGTGCACGTTCTCGAACATTAAAAACTCTTTTACCTGTAAGACAAGGTATGTTTAAATCATGTCTGGAATGTTATTTTCAACGATATATTGATAATTTATATTTGATACCAATAACAATTACTTATGAAAAAGTTTTAGAAGATAATTTACATTCATACGAATTGTTAGGTGTACCAAAACCAAAAGAATCGAGTACCGGTCTATTGAAAGCTACACAAATATTGAAAAAAAATTTTGGCACAATGTTTGTACATTTCAATGAACCAATACAAGTAAGAGATGAATATGAACAGTTTCGAAAACAACAACAGTCGATATCGGATGAGAATGGAACAATGAAAATAGCACAAAATGTTGAAGGTAAGTCAGTGTTCCAAATGATGACAATATTATGTGTTTGAAGTTTAAAATAGTGACCAAAATATTCATATGACAATGTGTAATATGTCTACTTTCAGACGAATTACTTACAAAACGAATTCTACGTTCGATTCAACCACGATTTTATTCGCCAGATACAGTAGATCCATTTGAACAAAAATTTATTGATACATTATCATATCGTGTTGTTTATGAACAACAAAAATCCGTAACAATTTATCCTATTGCATTGTTATCCTATTCTCTATTGTCATGGACCATGAGCAAACCTACTCTTATCAATTATGAGCAGTTCTTAAATGAGAAAAGTATTTTAATTGATCACGTATTAAAACCGTTTTCTCATCATCATCAAATTTATTGGTCAAATGATGAGAAACAAAAATTTCAAGAACATTTGATCAGATTATATCCTGAAATGTTTGAAAAGACTAATAGAACAAATGAAAATTTATTGTTAAAATTGACAAATGATCGATTAATGAATGCTGCACTATTAATGAAATTGATCATGTATCGAAACACATTTTTACACTTATTGGCGAAACCTTTATACGTATTATTACCGTTTTATAAACAATTTTCATCTAATCCTAACCATCATGTAAGTAACAAAGTTTTCGAAATAGAAAAAGTATAAATGATTTATTCAATGAATAAATAATCTTTTCTTTCTTATCTTTCCATTCTAATCGATGAATAATTTTATAATCTGGTATGTATTTCACGTTCATTTGTTCATTTTAGAATTTTGATAATTCTTCCACGTATTCCATTGAACATTTGAAATGTTACTATCAATTTTTCATTAATTTATTTTCCTATGAATTTGTTTATGATTGTTTACCATCTTCGTCAATGTTTGTTACAGTTGAACGTGATTTTCATACATATTTAAATTATTGGTTGAAATTAAATTTTTTAATTGAAACAAAGGACTCAGTATCGACAACTTATCGGCTAAATTCAGTCTACAATGAACAGGTTTTCTATATGACCAGTGCATTTGTTCAATATTCTAAAGCTTATTTATCTATCTATAATCATGTCGTTATTAATCCAATGCAAAATGGAAAAACAATGACAGATACGGCTAAACAATATCAAAAAGAATTTTTAAACGTAATGAATATTAATGATATTGTCAGTGTTTTGTGTTCGTCGTCAAATTTAATTCAAAATGCATTGAGAACTATTTTAAATACAGAAAAAAAGCAAGAAAATCTCGATAAGTATCGTCAAATCTTGACGTTACTTTTTGATACAAAATCTCAATCAAACATAATTCTTGCAAAACTATAAAGTGCACTTTTATTTATGCTATCTCACTACTTTTTTTGTTTTTTTTGTTAGTTTTTTTAAAAAAATATTCAGTGACCCATTAAGATCTGTGACTATCTTATTTCCTTTTAGTCAATTATTTCTGGTGTTTTATGTGTTTGCTTTGTTCTTTGATTAGGCAATTTTTCATGTTATCCTTTGTTTTTAAAAGCAAAATAAAAAAAATTGGTTTTGTGTGAACAAACCAAATGATAACTGTCTTTTTGAAGTTTAATTATGCAATTTAGAGGATATTTTTTTAAGTTTAACTTAATCTACTGTATAAGAAATATGTATTCAATGATAATAATCGCATGTGAAATATCATCTTGTAAAGTTCTTTTATTCTATGTCATGTTATAATAGCTGAGACATTTTCAAATGTTCAGATAGCAAAAATCTGCTTATCCTACAAACTAACATTTCATAATTTCATAGTTGGAAAGTTTAGACTCTGACGAAATGCAATCAAATACTCTATATTCTTTTTATTCAGAGATAAAAGATTCTTATTTATCGAGATGACAGAATGAAGTATGCATGAAGAGAATTAAAATTTCTTTCTACAAAATGACTGTTCTGATTTTGTTCGAGAGGGGAAGAGAAAAGGGAGAAATACTAAAAAAACGAACGCAAAAGCCATTTTTTTTGTTATTTTGATTGTTTGAGGTTATTAGAGTATAAAGGTGAAAAACTCTCGTTTTTTGAAATTTTTTCTAGCGAATGACATGTTATTTAACGGATTGATAAAAATCCTATTTCTGATCACTGTCGTAAAGTAAGCGTTATTCTCTTAAACTGATCGTAAAAATTTTTTCCTTTGCAGTTTGAAACCTACTTAGAAGTTTCTTTTAGCTTTAAAATAAAGCGTCTTACTTGAAACGTAAAAACATGCTCATGCTAAAGAATTTCGATTGACTTATGAATTTTTGTTCACAATAGAATATAGAGACATTTTAATATTGTAATACTTATTTGGTACTTAGTTATAGAGAGATCCAGTTTTATTAGTTGAGCGCCCGTCTGTTGAACAGTGTAGCATTTTAAGTAAGAATACACGAAAAAAATGATTCTTTTTTTGGCATTAGGAACTTAGTTGATGTTGATTTGAGATTCAATATTTTTCACCAAAAGTAACTTTAATGAAAAGCTGAGAACCAGTGAATATTTTGGAGAAAAAATAATGGTGATGATAATTACTTATTGAAAACTAACCCTATATTTGACGTTTCTAAGGGAAGCCAGTTTCTACTAAAACTTGTGTGAACGAACTACAATATTGTAAAGATACATTATAATGACAGGACTCCATCAAATACAATCGTACAGTAAACTAACAGTTCATTTTCTTGGAAGTATGTCTGTTATATCAGATGTGGGATCGATCTGGTCTCAAAAACAAAACAAATTTTTTTATGTCTATTTGAATATAGAAGACTATCTCTGATATACCTTTTTGTCAAACTTGTTTTGATGAAATCAAATTTGCAGAAGAAAAGTTATTGTATCGATTGATAAAACAGTTTTTGTAAAAAATCTCTTTGTTTATGAGTTATCAAGACAATTTAAGAAGAACTTGATGACAATTTGTCTAATGATCATCTTTCTAACCATAATATGAGAGATCTCGATTTGTGGGAATGGCAGACTTTTAATTTAACAGCGGCGTACTTGTAAAAATAATATAATATTTAATTAATTACATAATATGTTTCAATCATCAATGCGAAGTGAATAAAATCATTCGAAAAAATTATATACTCATGGATCTGAACTAATCTTCTAACGAACAACAGTTATTATTATTCTCCATAGGCGACAGCAAATATACTACAGCAAAGAGTTTTATCGTAAAGGAGTAAATCTCAAGGCACTTGCACATTCTACTGTAAGTATTTGCTGTTGATCATGGCGAAAAAAATATAGAAATAAAGCCAAACTACTACCAATTCGATTAAGTTTATTTAATTTTTTTGTGTTATGAACAAGTTAATGATAAGCTTATTTTTTTATGGGTATCCGCTATAAAAAGAGTTGAAGACTAAACTAATCTAACTTGATATGGTTCTAGACTACATGTCTGACGTTTGAATAGATTTTCTACTACATGTGCTTACAAGACGGAAATTTTTCTGTACTATTATTTATTATACGAATACAGAAATCGACGTCAATGGCCTATACTGTTTTATAAATGAATTATTTGGTTCTTTTCCTTTTTGTTTCTTTCGATGAGAGTCTACATATTTTTATTTGTTCAACTGTTAGATCTACTATTTTTCACTCTTATCCTTTATATTTCAAATATAATAAGTTCGTCTATTTTTTTATGTCCTTGTTTTTACGTACTAGAAAAAAATGGTTTGATTACAGTATGCGTGTGCTTCCGGTCTATAAGGATTTCTATAAATATTTTTTTTTCTTGTTCTCATATATTTTGCATTCGAATAAAACAAAATTCTCATGAGTCAAAAATTATTATGTGAACATTTATTCTATATTTATAATATGTCAAGTTAAAATACAGAATTATGCAGGAGTTAAAGACAGTATGATGTGAAAAACGACATATTTAGCATTGTACATTTTTCTCGCATTTGGTAACAGCTATATGGGTTTATGTTAAACTGAGTCAAACATCTGATTTTAAGAATTGTTCTCTGTTACTTTTTTTGAAATTTCTTCTCTGTTACTTATTGCTATTAATTTCGAATGAAAAATTGACTCAAATGACTCAATTTTGTTAACAAGAGATATGTAATACTTTTGATAACAGGAACAACTTTCGGTTAATCCTTGAATTTTAGTCTTACCTATCAAACAGCAAAACAAAGTTTCGTTTTCTACAAAACAAAAGCAAAATGTATCTTATTGAACGATAGGAACGTGAATATTTATAACAAAAAAGATGCACTTAGTGTATTTTTAATGATTATAAAAGAATAGTTAGAATTTCTACAATTTTCACTATTTTTTACGTGCTATACGATCATAGACAAATAGATGATCATAGTTATATGAAAATATCTTGAGAATGTTTACCACCCTAACTCTTTAATAATTGATTATTTGTTTTTTATATTATATCACTATTTTTACTCTAGTTTTTGTACATTGTTGTTGTCGTCCTGTTTTATAACTTGAAAACTATGTTAAAGTTAGGCGGAAAATATACAAAGCTTTCTTTTTTCTCCTTCTCATGTTCATTTTTTGTAGCATAATTATTTTGGGTAAAGAATAGGGGCTACATGCATAGAGAAGTTCTATAATAAAAGAATTCGATTACTTAGTTACTGACAGAAAAACAAAACGAATGAGAACTTTGATGAACGAACGGAAAAGGAAATTTTTTTCTTTTTTTATATTTTCTCTATATAATTTTTTTTCTTCTCCTTAAATACAATTTTAGGATGCGACGATTCTTTAGCAGAAGTAATGTATGTCTGTCTGTTCTTCTTTAAATCAATTTTTTTTTTTGTTGTTGTTGTGTGTATGCTTAATAATTTTTTTTTGACATTTGACTATTATTTTTATACATAAAAAAAAATTATTATCATTAATTGCTATTGAAAAATAAGTTTTCTATTTTTATTATTTATCATTGTTTGATTTAAATGTTATATAAATGTGATTGACCTAGTTAAATGAGTACATTATACTAGAAGTCAAAAAATAAAACAAAAATTAGGAAACGGATGTTTATATTTTAAGATTTGATTGTGTCTTTGAAAATATTTTCCTCATATATTTACTTAAACGAACGTTCTCTACATATATGATAGTAATGATAGATTTCAAACTGTCGAATTCATTTTTTAGATACCACTTCATTCGTTAAAAAACTAAAGTCATAGTTTATGTTATCGTATATTTTGAAGAATTCTCTTATATTTGATTAATCATACTTTATCCTTTTTGTATTTATGATCCTACAATATTTTCTGTTTTTTTTTATACGATTAAGAAAGAGTTTATCAATATTTTTTTTTTTGACAAGTGAACTGAAAAGTCGCTGTTGTTGTTTTTTTGTTATTTATCTTAGAGAAGTATTAAACTTCCATTAAATTATTATCTACAAATAAAATGAGTACTCTAATAGTCATTTGTTATTTCCTTTTATTTTATTTATAGCGATTAAATCAAACATAGATGCCTTTTATCAATCGTAATATAATCTCTCATTTTGAATTAGTTTTATTTAGTCGATAATTATAGATTTTGAATCAAATGTTGTTTACAGAATTTATAAAACATTTATTTATTCATCATAGTAGATCGATTAAAATAGATATAATAATGAAATTTATTCATAAAAGTTTGTTTTTTATTGTATTTCTAATTCTATTAGAAAGTTAGAAGAGGCTAAAATTGAACTATTCTCCAAAAAAACGTATTGCTAAATACGTAACAACTTCTTTTATTGAAATTTTTTTAATTAATTTGAATTTTTGAACGATAAACTAGTTCAAATCAATTAAGTTTTTAATAGTTCAAATTAATTAAACAAAAATTCCAATGGATATATAACGATCATTTAGGCATTCATTTCATGCCGTAAAACCATTTTTCTTTTCTCAGTTATTCTCTTAGACACTTAAAATACAATTTAGATTTTTTTATGTTATGTATAGGCCAGGGATGGACAAAAAACGTTCTTGTTTTGCAAAATTTTGCAAGAGAAGACGAGACAAAATGGAACAGATTTTTAAAATTGTTTGGAAAAAAATTAATTTTGCTGAAAACTTTGATGAGACAGGATGAGACGAGACGGAATTCGTTCTTTCTAAACACATCGTTTGAGTCTAATAATATATCAAAAATTGATTACAGAATTGCGAAGAGACTTTTATTATAAGTTGTACTGGGATTTTTTTTTCTTGTTTAGTCAGTTTGGTTTGCAAAATGTGAGCTGCGCGATCTCGAGAACTACACAACGTAGAAAAGTTCTGAAAACACGAAATTGTTCTATGAGTATCGAAAATCAACCATTCGACATTCTTTTTCCAAAATTCACGCTGAAACCGGCGCCACAGGGTATAAGAAGTGGAAGAAAATTGACTTTGAACTTAGAAAATTTTCATATATTCATTGATAGCTTGTTGTCCGATGTCATTTGTTCTTCAGAGGAAAAATAATTCTCGCTCTCTTTTCTTTTTGTTCTACAGGTCTATGTGACTGATAGTAAACATGAGTCATTGTTATTCCTAACCTCTCTTTTGTGCAACTGAAACAGAGAATAACAGCGAAAGTGACCTAGTGGAACTGCTGGCTACGAACCACTTCTCCACCGAACTCAGGTGGAGATGGATCTGTTGACTTCACACAATTGCAATCTAGTTTATTTTTTGTATTTCTTATGCGGTAAGGGTTTAATGAACAGATAATTAACATCAATTTTCTTTACACGAGGTATAATATCCTACACGAAAAATTTCAGTGTGGTACTGCCAGTGCACACCGATGCACATGGCATGCCATCGGTCACTGGCACTGGCTGACACTGGTGTGCACCCGTACCCAGCAAGTGCCAATGTATTAATGCTACACTGAAATTTTTTTAAACAGTTTAATTAGTATTTTAGTATGGAAAAGTCAATTTTGTTATGGTTGTTTATACTGGGTTTTGTATTAGAATGCGGTACATGATCAATACCACATTGACATGCCAAAAACCATTCGGCACTCGTCTTATGAGAAGGAAAAGATGAAATCAGAAAGATATTCGAAATATTAGAAGTATCTTGTGATGTTAATATAGACAAAAATTGACAAAAAAAACAAAATGGTGATTTTGAAAACAAAACTTTGGCACTGGTAAGCATCGATGCGAGATTTTTACAGTCTTTCTGGCATCGATGCGCATCCGTGTACAACCAGTGTCGATAAAATATTTTTTTGTAGGGTAATTTTAAAACTTTTTTCGATATAAAACGACAAATATTACGAGACGTTTGAAAACTCTGTTTCATCCACCTCTGGTATAGGCATCTTTATTTGGCAGGTTTCCCTTTTTTTCATCCTTCATTTTCTCCTCGACATGAGAATAGAGAAGTCAATGAGAGCGATTTAATGATTGAAACAAGATTTAAAAGACATATAACTCGATTCAACAGGACACTGAAAAACTCAATCAATTCTGAGATCGTTCTACTGCGAGACTCAAAAGAGAATTTTTCTCTTGTACAAAATCCTTTGTTGATTTTTGCACGTTATTTCATCTATACAGATTTGTTCAGTGAATGGATCCACGACTATCTTTTTGGACAATATGAATGTACAAAACAACATTGGATTTTATAGAACAAAAAATTTTCTATTATTTTCTGTTTAAAAAGAAATCTTGAAAGTACGTGAAGTATATAGAAAATTGTCAAAATAAATTTCTCATTTTAGAATTATCCATTATTATATTGATGAATTTTGTTGAGTTGTATGTAAAAAGAATGTTAGAAATATACCAATAAGATAAATTTTTTAGTGTCAGTCATCTATGGGGGGGGTGTATTTAAATTTTATCTGATAAAAATATCTTTGGTATATCGTGAGTGGATATGAATGTTTTCGGAGTTGACAAGACTTTTATTTATATCTTTTTGAGAAAAAGGATCTTATTGAATATTTTAATTAATAATATGTATTTGACTCTGTGTATGCATATTCTTTTACTAAATGTTTTTTTCATCATGATGAGAACAAAATTTTTATTTCAAAAAAGTCAGAAATGAAAAATCTTTTTTTGAAATCATATTGATCTGTTGAATAAATATAACATGTAAAACATATGTCAACTTTTATTTCAGATTTTTAGTGATTATAGGATGTCTCAGCCGTTGCAATTATCGGCTACAAAATGTCCGACAGATGAATTATCACTATTAAATTGTGCAATAATTAATGAAAAAGATATTGATCCAAAACGATTCAGGTATCCAAAACAAATAGTCGATAAAGAATTGATCATTTTATTTATTTATTTATTTATTTTTCTACAGACATATTGAAGTGATGACTGGTGTTACATCAAAATTTATATTTACAACAAAATCTTATTCACATTTACCACAAGGAAAAATTGGATTTAACAATTTTCAGGTAATTAAAAATATATTGATAATAAAAGAGAAGATATCAATTTTATTTTTTTGATTTTGTAGAGAAAATGGGCAAGTATCGAACTCGAACGTCCATATCAAATTCGACCGTATACATTTGATAAAAATGTACAGTCTATAGCCATATTAGTGCTTGAGGTCGATTTTATGAATAAAAAAAAGTGAGTAATAATACAACAATGACATTTTTTCTTTTTGATTTAATACAGAGAGAGAGTATTTAATCTTTTTATTCTAGTGTAACAGCAGATCCATATGATACAGATAAAATGGCCGTCGAATTTCTTCAACAATTTACGGATCATGCATTTACCGTTGGACAATCTGTAAAGATAATAAAATATTTTTTGTATTATTTTAAAATAATTTTTTCTTAACTTTTGTTCTAGATAGCATTTCAATTTATGGACAAAAAACTTTTATCAGTTATTGTGAAAGAAATTAATGGTTTGTTTACTATTTATATTTTTATGGATTTTAAATCCGTTTTTATTTTATTAAAATCTCTTGTTTTTTTGTTTTTTAGCTGCTGATTTATCGGCAGTAGCCCGTGGTCAAAATTCAAAAGCAAAAAAAATTGATTTCGGTGTAACATTACCAAATACAACGGTTGTATTTGAGCGAGGTGAAGCAACAGCAATAAATTTGATTGGAAAATCAAAAGGGTAAATAAATAAACTATCTCTATGTTATTAAAGTTATTTAAATTTATTTCTTTTTATTTGCAGAAAAACACAATTTGTTTCAATTATAAATCCAGATTTTGATTTTAAAACAATTGGTATTGGTGGACTTGATAATGAATTTAATGCCATATTTCGTCGTGCATTTGCATCACGTGTATTTCCACCAGAAATTGTTTATCAACTCGGTAAAAATAAATAAAAATTGAATAAATAATGTGTATGAAAACTGTTAATATTCTTCTTTATATTTTAGGTATGAAACATTGTCGAGGTATTCTATTGTTTGGTCCACCAGGCACAGGAAAAACTCTCATGGCTCGGTAAATTATAGAATACAATAATCTGAATTATTTTTCTTTAAATCTAATTAATTTTTAATAGACAAATTGGTAAAATGTTAAATGCTCGTGAACCAAAAATTGTCAATGGTCCACAAATCTTAGATAAATATGTGGGTGAATCTGAAGCAAATATTCGAAAGTTATTTGCGGAGGCAGAAGATGAAGAAAAACGAGTAGGTGTTTACGAATTATCTATATATTATACAAAAAATAAATAATAACATGATTTTAATGTTTCTAGTCTGGTCCAAACAGTGGTTTACATATAATTATATTTGATGAAATTGATGCCATTTGCAAAAGTCGTGGCTCAGTGGTACGATCAATTTTAGTTGTCTATAATATAAAAAATATGTTTTATTTCGAAAATTTTTAGGCTAGTGGTGCTGGAGTCCATGATACAGTTGTAAATCAATTATTATCAAAAATTGATGGTGTTGATCAATTAAACAATATTCTTATTATTGGTAAATAATTTATATGAAAAAATTATATTAAATTATATAATTAAAGTTGATTATGTGTTTAGGTATGACTAATCGTCGAGATATGATTGATGAAGCATTATTACGTCCTGGTCGTCTAGAAGTACAGATAGAAATTGGTAAAAGAATTAATTTTTTGTTCAATAATATTTGATAGTACAGTTTAGATAAGATTAACTGTTATTAATATATTTTATTTATTCCATGTATCACTAACGCGTTAAATTATCTTCTTATTTTTAGGTTTACCGGATAAAAATGGCCGATTACAAATATTTAATATTCATACTGCACTTATGCGTCAAAATAATAAATTAGCTGATGATGTTGATTTAAAAGAATTTAGTGAATTGACAAGAAATTTTAGTGGAGCAGAAATTGAAGGTCTTGTTCGAGCAGCTATGTCATTTGCAATGAATAGACATATTAAAGTAAATATGTGTATCATTTGATGATATGAAAATAATTATTATTTATTTGTTTTATTTAAGGCTGGAAAACATGTTGAAGTTGATCCGGATGCAGCTGATAAATTGAAAATTTGTCGAGCTGATTTTATGCACGCAGTCGAAAATGATATTAAACCGGTAAATAATATTCAAAACAAAATTGATAAAATTGAAAAATGATTTATAATTTGTATAAATAGGCATTTGGAGTTAGTAAGGAAGAATTTGATTTATATATCGCAAATGGTATATTAATATGGGGTCAAGCTGTCACAGATGTATTAGAAGAAGGACATTTACGTATTAGTCAAACAATCAAAAGTGAAATGACACCATTAGTATCCATATTAATTGAAGGTATTGAAATAAAGACTTTATCTATGAATTACATCAAATATTCTTATATTTTTATAGGTCCACCAAATAGTGGTAAAACAGCATTGGCCGCTCATATAGCATTATTATCAAAATTTCCATATTTAAAATTTTGTACAGCTCAAACAATGTTAGGTAGGTTAGAATTCTATATCTAAATCTATGCTTTATTCATACTCAAGTTATGGGTATAAACATCGATATCTAGTGAGACTTTTCTATACACAAAAAAATAAAAATGAATTGTTTATTATTATTTTTTATATATTTTAGGTTATACTGAAATTGCAAAATGTCAACAATTAAAAAAAATATTTGAAGATGCTCATAAATCAGCACTATCATGTGTTGTTGTTGATGAATTAGAAAGTTTTCTTGAATATGCACCAGTTGGGCCACGTTATTCAAATACTGTATTACAAACATTAAAATTATTATTTAAACGTGCACCACCAAAAGGACGTAAATTACTTATTATAGCAACAACTTCCTATCGTGATATTCTAGAACAATTGGGTTTATCACAATCATTTAGTAAAATCATACATGTATCGAATATGAGTAGTGGAAAACATGTACTTCATGTAATAAATGAAATTGAACATACGTTTAATGATGATGAAATGAAACATTTAGAAAAAACTCTTAATGATAAAAAGTAAGTAAAATTGAAATAGACGATGATTTCATTTTTTGGAGTGAAGAAGAGAAACAACATACTTAGATAGAATTTATTCTGGAATAATGAGAAGCATTCAATAATGTTTTTTTGTTTTCTTTTTAATCATATTGACTTTTTTTCTGTAGGATATGGATTGGTATTAAAACGTTGTTGGATTTAATTGAAGTCGCCAGACAAGCCGATGACAAATATCGTGTAGCGAGATTTCTAGCCACACTTGAAGAAGTGGGTGGTATGGTATAAAGTGTGAATCACAATACTACAGAATCACGTACATAGTTTTCTAAAATATGTCTTCATTTTGTTTTTGGTATCTTTATATAGTCAGTGTATGATGATGATGATGATGACTAAGTCAAACTTAGATAATTATTTTAACATATGAACTTTTGAAAATTTTTTTGTTAAATCTCTTTTATATCCAGGCGCGATTTATTCAGGTATTGAAATGTCAAATATTCTAATGTAGGTAAAAGAACAGACTAAAAATATTCAGAGAAATAATAAGTTGATGCATAAAGTTTATAACAAAACGTTTTTTTTTAACAACTTATGTATACTTTTTTTTTAATTTAAGTATGTATTTATGCTAGAAATTGAGAATGTAAAAGTTTAAATGATATAGTGGAATACTATTGCACTATTTGCATAACATGAGAATGATTCTTGCTTTTTTTCATATGAGTATACTAATAACAACGTATGATTCGTGAACATTTGAGTCTTTTATTTTTGATAGATCAAGTTCAACATAGACTAACCTTCTTAGATCATCATCTGATTTTCAAGAGAATTTTTATCGATGAACAGTAATCAATTTCTTCAGATTTAATCAAGGGTTTAAGTTTTGTTTTGTTGCCGTTGCAAGTCATATATAGTCATCTTTAGTTTTTAGTTTGCGACTATACATACTTTGAGGGAGAAAAAAATATTTATTTTTATTTGTTTTTACATTTTCTGTTGATATTTTTTAGTATTAACAATTATTTTGATCTTGAATTATGCAAAACAACTGATTTAGTAAAATGTTTTTCTTTTTTTTATTCCATCTCAATATTTCAGTATTCTCTCACATATCAGATGAATCTCATTTTGATTTCTTTTCATTATTTTAATTTAGCGATAATATTTAGACTACTAAGCATAAATCTTATGTTTATCCTAAATTACAAAAACCGAAGTTTCTATTCTTGTCCTTGATTTTCGTTTGAATGGTAGTAGAAAAATTAGACGAGGCTGTCTGTTTGAGTATGACAGTGTCCTTGATGTACACTGTGATAAATAATCATTAGTTCTAACTTCAATTCAGGCGAGTTGTCAAAGCAAGGGTTCTATGCATTCGAATGTTGTATATAAATTTTTAATGGTAAACACCTTCCTTTACGTTTTTTTTTGTTTTTTTTTATCATATCTTTATGTAACGCTCTTTTGGTTCTCAAACCTATACCCATTTTTCTTTATTACCCATTTTTTCTACTGTGCCTATGTACACTACTTGAGGAAGTATGTAACAGTTCTTAGAGCTATGTGCATTATTTTTTTTTCCTATTCTTTTTCTTGTTCTTCTTCTTCTTCTCCTTCTGTTATAAAAATAAATCTAGTCAAAGTAATTAATTATTTCCATATTAAAGTTTTGCTCTATATTTTTTTTGCAATTCTTTACATGTATGAATGAGTTTATTTTTAGTTTTTGTGTATATAAAATGTGCAATAAAACATGTGCAATGAAAAAAGAGTTCACTATTCATAATATTATGTACATTCCTAAAAGTTAAGTCAAAAAGCTTTTTGCAAAAAAAATTTACATTGTGGAAAATGAACGTAATGTAGAAATAAAACCTTAGAGTCCATTTAAAAATATATACATAATAAAATCCTATAAATTTAAGTCATTTTCATCGTTAATAGGTCATTCTCAATAATATTTAATTATCTAGTCACATTTTTCTTTTGTATTTAAAAGTTTTAGTTGTGTATTTATTTTTATTATAACTGTGGATTAATATTTTATCTTTTTTTTTCTTTTAATGTGAGCGACACTATCGACAGATAAAATGTGTTATGCTGTGTATATTTGATATTTGTCATTTATTTTTGTTTCACTACTTCTTAATCAAATTAAAATATTATGCATCAATATGTTTTTTGTCCATATTGAAAGATAAAGCTTCATTTCACTGTAGTTGAAGTTGGTTGAATATACTAACATTGATTTCTTTGTCATTAGTCAATCTTACGCGGTTAGATGAGAAGATAATTAGGAAATAGATATTAAGCTCTTGCTTGAATATTGAATTAGAAAATTGACAACAGAAACAAGATTAATCAAATTTGTAGTTTTAATGGATGAATAATAGTAGAAGAGATAATCTGACTCTTTTATAGTTTAAAAAAGAAATTGAATCGATTTTTATTTCAATGAATCGTTTAGCTGATGTACCTCTAATATTTCTAGAAATAATTTCTGACTATCATTTTAAAAATTAATTAAATAAATATGCAGAAATATGGAATATCTATCATTGTGTTTACTGTTTTCTGGGGTCTTATTGGCATTGTTTTACCCTTTATTATTCCAAAAGGTCCAAATCGAAGGTATGTTAAAAGTCTGTTTATTTCTAGTTCAATTAAACTGACCTTGAGTTATTTTTAGATTGATTCAAGTCATGTTAATGTTAACAGCTGCATGTTGTTGGTTATTGTAAGTAATAAAAAGATCTTGATTATTAAATAATTTTTTGTCAAATTTAATTTGAGAGATCAAAATATAAATTGTCATTTTTTTTAACATTAATTTCTTTTAAAAATTGATAACAAATCTTGTAAGTATTTTCTTCAAAATTTCTATTAATTTTTTGCTATTTTAGCTGGTTTTGTGTCTACATTCATCAACTAAATCCATTATTTGGACCACAATTGAAGAGTTTAACTGCTCGAGTATTACGTATATTATGGGGTTCAGAATTTTGAACAATGTGGATTTTATTTGTTTAACAACGTTCATGTCTCTTTTCTCCGTGATGTTCGCTTATAATTCCATGTATTTATTTATTTTTGGTTTCTTCGGTTTTTTTTTGTTCTTATATCCATTGTTGTCTATTTTATCATCCTTTCTGTTGTAATATATCATAATACATAACGAACATCAAGGTTTTAAATAACTTTGATTCAGAGGTAATGTAAAAAAAAATAAATACAGATTGTAAAAGAGGATAAGAACTGACAAGTTTTTAATAAAAGTTCGTACGATTCGAACTTACCTCTTTATTGACAATGTGGAAGGTATCGTAATAAAAATTATTCCGACAACTAGCTAATATCTTGGATATACGTCTTTTTCATTAACTTTTTATGTCAATCTTCTATCGTACAACGTCATTTTTGGATATTTCATTTTTTGCCAAAAAAAAGAAAACGAAGATTAAACTGTGTAGACTTACCTGAATATCAAAGTACAGCGCTCAACAGATTCGTTGAATCATTGATTTTAGTCCTTCTCAATTGTTAGATAAATAGCTGACTGACGTTTCTCACAGGTTTATTAACATAATTCTTTTCTCATCAAAGAATAAACAAACGTGATCTAAGACAGTTTTACTAACGACGTATTTATTGCCTTTTTTTCCTCCGTTCTTGAGATACCATCACGCTTGTCGTTTTTCTTTTTCTTTTCTTTCCTTGGTGGTATGTTTTCAGTATCTCACACGTTTTTTTTCGTGTGTAATGTTTGTCAGAAATGAAGAAAAAATACACAAGATTTGGACTTACCTCTATTAAAAAGTCAAAAACAAAACATTTATGTGTGTAAGAATATCGTTACTTTTTATTGTACGATCATATGTTGTTGTGTAATAAAGTAAAAGAAAAGAAGGCCGAACTTTGTGGTTTACGCAGTATACTGTCTTTATCATTGTGACGTTAGTAGTATTGATTACTCACAATTCGTATCTTGTTCTCGTTTTAGATCTGAAGTATCTAACGCCATATTCTGTAAGAAAAAATTTTTGAAAAATGAACACGTTAAGTGGACCAAAATTAGTTAGTATTATTCTAACAAAAGAACATGGTTATGCAGGTATTTAAAATGTTACTAAAGTATATAAAAGTTCAAGTGTTCAATTGTTTTTTTTCAGCTGGTGTTGCTCTTAGTTCGTGGGTTGCTCTGCAATATATGGGTGTCAGAGTTATGAAAGCCAGAAAGAGGTTTGTAAATTTTTAAGTGTAATTGAACTAAAGATAGAACTAAGAGATGGTCAAGAAAGAAAGGATGTACGTACTTCTAAAACCATTCAAGGAGGATCAATCTCTCTCTCAGATTTCGTCTAATGAGTATAAAACGTATTGTTTATTTTTGATTTAAGCTTAATTCTTTCAGAATAGAAGCAAAACTAAATCTATTCTGGCGTTCTAAAAGTTAAACTATTGAAAATATAATATCAGTTTTGTACAAATATACGACGAACTCGAACAGATGAACTTAGCTTTGTAGATGATTGCTAAACTAAATTTACTGTTTCATAATGTATTCTGTAGAATAGCTGAAGTTGTATAGTCGATTCGACGTTACCAGTGCTAGTTTTTTCTAGATGGAATGTCAATTATCCAAAATTATACGCTGATGAACAGAGTGATGAGCATGGCAGAGAATTTAATTGCGTTCAACGTGGACGTAAGCAGTTAATTATTTTTTTTATTAGATATGATATTAAATATATAATTTGTTTATATAGATCAAAATACGTTGGAAAATTATCCCCAATTTTTAATGTTGCTCGGCTTAGGTTCTATTAAATATCCATTGGTCTCTTCAATTGGTGGTGGTATATGGATAGTAGGACGTCTTCTTTATTTTCATGTAAGTGTGGAAAGGAGATTATTAGATATTTTCTATCTATTTTTTATTTGGTGTATAGGGCTATGCAACTGGTAATCCTAAAAATCGTCAATGGGGTTCATTTCAATACATTGGCATTTTCACGATGTTGGGATGTGCAGTAAAAATGATTTATGATTTAGTAATTTAAAATTATTGCATAACAGTTATTCGTGTACGCTTTTATATTTTATATCGGTTAAACACGTATAGAAAATACATCGTTTTGGTAGAAGTTAAATAGCTGGCTCGTTTTTAATAGTCTAGCCGTTTTTAATATGTTTAAGAAAAAACGTCATATTAGTTTTTAATAAATTCTTTTTGTCTGTCAGAAAACAAGTCCAACAGATGGCACTTCTATTTTGAAAAATTTTAAAAAAAGAACACAAATATGTTATTTTATGAGATTGTGGAGCGATAGATTTAATCTGAAAAGCGAATTAGCATAGTCCGATCAATAGAAATATTACAAAGGTCGAAACGGCATCATATTTAATCCTACCAATTATAAATCCCACAAAATTCATCATTTCAACGAAGTTAAAACTTCTCAACTTTTCTGTCATTTGACTCTGCAAACTTTATAAAAACACTCGATTAAATTAAATAATTTTTGCTTTTTAGTTTAACTTGTCGTAGAAGAAAAGAAAAAGTATTAAAAAGCTGGTCAGTTTTAGTGTTAACTACACATATTAATTGATGAAGCAAACTGTGTCCATATTTATATTCGCCCATTAATTTCTATTTATCAACGACCAACAAATTACAGTAAAAAAATTTATTCTACTTCCTTTTTCATTTCACATACATTTCTTATACTAAATATTTACATCAGTGCAGCTATGAGGACAATCGCTTTGTTATGTATCTTCGTTACTCAACATTACTTTCGCTACAAAATTCAAGATAATTGACGGCATACCGCAATCGCCACACCGATAAAAATCAACGACACCTCTAAATGAGAACAATCCCGCACATTTTACATGCACTAGCAACTTCACAACTAATAAAAAATTCGATTATTTTTTCCTGTAGTGTATAAACCTATATCTCAATCAGTTAACTCCTTTCACCAACATTAAAACACTCACATTCAATCATCAGTATTATACAGTACGCGGAACATAACTTTTCTGCTGAACTGATACAAATCCGTATCGATGATTGTCTAACGAGGGAACCTTTCCACGTGTCCGACCGCTTTTTTAACTAAATGCGGTAGTTTATAGGTAATCGACCATGCTGATTCCAAATATGACAGCCGTTTCAGCCCATTGGCGTTTCCTAACCTGTTTCTGGAATACTGGTTTTTCGGAAACCTTGAAAAAGCCCTATGGGTATTTTTAAATAAGTCACTGTAGCCCGCGAAATTCTGAGTAAGATGAGATATCTACCAGCTCCACGCGACCCATCTTTACAAAATTATAGAATTTACAAGAAAAGCCCTAAATTCATCCTTCCTTCTTCTTTCTTTACCTCTGAGATGACAATAAACATTTAATGGGCTACAGTTGTGACTTATTTAGAACAACTCGTGGGAAGGTTTCCGAAAAACCAGTATTCCAGAAAGCGGTTAGGAAACGCCAAAGGGCAAAAACGGCTATCATATTCGGAATCAGCATGGTCGATTACCTATGAACTACCGCATTTAGTTAGAAATCCGGTCCGACAACTGCAAAGGTTCCCTCGTCAATTCATCGTCTAACAAATTTTTTAGCACCAATAACAATACTCTTACATCACCGGGTTGATCATCAACAAATTAGACACTCATAATTGCCATATTGCCTTCGGGCACCTTTCCTTACGAAATAACTGCTCACTCAATGCATTGTCACCTTGTA